AAATTTGTGGGTCATATTGAGGTCTTTTAAAACTCAATGTTGTATAAGGAACAGTGTTCTTTATTTATAAGTAACCAAAAGTATTGTAAATGTTTGGATTGCACCATAACTCTCAAATATAGTGAAAATGTATTGCTCATAACAGAGACTTTGATACGAAGGACGTAGATCATTGTTTGGATCGAACTTCCACAATTACATCGTTTGTGCACTTTCTTCCCTTTTACTTATTATTTTCGTATTTATGCATTTTTGCTTGATCGACTTATTCATTTTTTTTTAATTTGCTTAAACTTGAATTAATTTTTCTAAAAAGTTTGAATAACCAATTCACTTCCCTCTTAGTTAGATATTTTTTGACTACCAATTTGTTTTCTAGAGTTTTAAACGAAATTACTCGTCAAAATATAACATAGATAATAAAGTACATTAATAAAAATTTAAGTGCAAAAATTTGAATTATAAATTACGGGTTTGAATTTTAAAATGTAAGGTTGGTATTTAAAATTAACCATAATGTGAAGATCAATGTTGAAATTTTAAAAAAAATCATTAAAGCATAAAAATGCTTCTCTTATTTTTGTTGAAAGGCTTCTTAGAACATTAGAATGATTTCTTTTAAAAGCTCTTTTGATCAGACATGCTTATTTACCAAATATTCGTTATTAGAAGAATAAACTCCTTAAATAGAGTAATTTTATCTATAATCAACTACTACAATAGTCATCTTAGTGACAACTTTTTATACAAATGTACTCAATAATTGTTTCTTAATCTCAAAAATAACTTTTAACTTTTCGAATGACAGCCTGAATGGATTGTTGATTACTATCATCAAGCTTATAAATTGATTTTGTAATAATTTTCAGATGACATTTTATTATAAATGCTAAATAAAGTAATAATCATCAATTTATATGAAATTATATAACCATCAATTTGCTATATATAATTAATGACGATTAGTATTTAAAAAAAAAAGATGAACCGCATCCTTGGCGGCCCCCACCTGCCCTGCCCTGCGCCTTGGTGAATGAGGTAAATCGCAGGTTATGCCTCCAAGGGTATAGGGTAGAAGGCTGCTTGCACACTTGCACTTACCCAAGGGCCAAATCCATATTTCAAGATTCGAACCCTTGACGCGGCAGCCAAGTTAGAGTTTTTCCACCTTCCCCTTTTTACCACTTGGAGATGTGCCCTGTGGGCAAATAGATTAGATTCAAATATACATAGTTGTACATAGATTTTATTTCTTTTTGTCTTCATATCACTTTCTTGAACTAGAGCATTATAATTCTTTTTTCTTTTTTTTTAGAACAAATATTCATCATGGACGTCATTGGATTAGATAAATAATAATTATAATTACTAATTAATTATTTAATAATCATTTCACTTGGTTGGAGGAAGCTTCTGATCTAGTGGGGTGTGTGGCTTAGATAGATACAACCCGGATTACAACAAACAATCAAAAAATGTACAACCTTTTGTGAAAGTGACGCTATGATAATTGCCCTGAATATCAACACACGTGTTGGCACAATATAATTTTATTCAATAATAGACTAACTAGATTATAAAATGGTTTTCATTTATATAATTCTGTCTAATTTAACTAGGATAGTCGATGACGTGACAATCATGGAGGAGGAGATCGAAAACTTCGTCCTCTGCTTTCGGGAAGCAGCTAACAAGAAAGTATTCCAAAGAAGTATCTATGCTACGCGGAGACTCCCGTGTGAACGTCCGCTCAGCTCGAAGGCTGATGTTCAAGCTACGCGGAGAGATCCGCCTCTCTTCGCAGCGATGAGAGGTTGCTCTCCCTTCCCTCATTTATCTTTCTGTATTTGTATGTAAGATCATGTTATATTTTTTTGTATATGTTTCATATCGTGTTCACCAACACATGCTCACATCTGAAATTTGTTAATTAGTATACCAACTATCTCTCCGCACAGCGCTGAGATGTTGCTCTCCTTTCCTTCATTTATCTTTCAATATTTATATGTATGTTTATGTTATATTTTTATGTGTATGTTTCATAATGTGTTCACCCATATATGCTCACATTTGAAATTTGTGAACTGGTGTACCAACTGTTTGATGTAATGTCCCAAAGAGACTTTTCGCCAATGTTCTAAAAAGCGTAAAACATGGTTAGGCGTGGAGGTCAAGTTTCAAACTTTACGAGCCTAGGCGAAGTTTAGACCTAAAAAAACGTTTTTTATTTTAAATTTTTAACCATTGTAAAAAAATTCAACAATTCAAATAATACATACCAAACATCTAAAATTATAGAATACTCTATTTACTTAATAATTCATACATAAAAAATAAGATATTGTATGAAGTTGACTATCATGACGACCCTTGCTTTTAGCATCAATAATGTCTGAGATTGGCCTGTAATCACTTTCCCTCTTCAATATCCTTTTAATGTCATCATTCGCCTTTAGTAGCTCTCCATAAACAAAGCTCACTGAAGGTTTTTCTTCCCCGACAACAAGTCTAAGCACTTTCATTAGTGGAGTGAACACTCTCAAACACAACTCTATCATGTTCCAAAAATCATTTGGAACAATAATATCAAATGCCACTTTTCCTTTTTTACTCCTAGACCATTTCATGTTATCTCATTCATTGCTAATCATCATACTTCTCAACTCTTGTTTTTTATCAACCAAACTTTGCAATGTCAAGAAAGAGGTTGCAAATCTAGTAACTCCCGGCCTAACTATCTCTTTTTTTGTGAACTTTCTCGATAAGGCTAGAGTCTTGTGATGTGCATAAATGAAAATAGTGACGGATTTTGCCTTGTCAGTCACTCCCTTGAAGCTAGGAAGTTAAGAAATTCCCTCAAGCATAAGGTTTAAAGTGTGCGTGGCACATGATGTCCAAAACATGTTAGGCCTTT